ATAAATAAAATCAGGCATGGGCCAACTTGGGCCCTCCAGGTGTTTTGGACTGCAACTCCTACAATTCTTAACAGCCAGTAGGTTAAAAATCGGGTGCCCTAACAAATTTGTGAACATTCTGCGGCTCCTCCATGATGACATGATGGCAACAGTTTTGGATAGCAATGGCTCCCAAAGTGACCCATTTAAGGTGAAATTGGGTGTCAACAGGGATGTGTTATTGCCCCAACTCTATTCTCCATCTTCATCGTTATGATACTTCACCTTGTTGACGGGAAGCTTCCCACCGGAGTGGAAGTCATCTATCGGACAGATGGCAAGCTGTTTAACCTCAACAGACTGAAAGCCAAAACCAAGGCTACTACAACATCTGTTATAGAACTCCAGTATGCTGATGACAATGTCGTCCGTGCGCATTCAGAAGAAGATCTACAAGCCACTCTAAACAGCTTCGCAGAAGCATACACGAAGCTTGGCCTTTCACTGAACATCGAGAAAACCAAAGTGCTGTTCCAGCAGCCACCAGCCATCCCCTCCCCAATGCCAGAGATACAGCTTAATGGTGTAGCATTAGAAAATGTTGACCATTTCTGCTATCTTGGCAGCCACCTCTCCACCAAAGTCAACATCGACACCGAAATACAACACCGCCTGAGCTCTGCGAGTGCAGCATTTTCCCGAATGAAGCAGAGAGTGTTTGAGGACCGGGACATCCGTAGGGATACCAAGGTGATTGTCTACAAAGCTATTGTCCTCCCAACCCTGCTATACGCCTGTGAGACGTGGACTGTCTACAGACATCACATGCAACTCCTGGAACGATTCCATCAGCGCTGCCTCCGGAAAATCCTGCAAATCTCCTGGGAAGACAAGCGGACAAACGTCAGCGTGCTGGAAGAAGCAAAGACCACCAGCATTGAAGCGATGGTACTCCAACATCAACTCTGCTGGGCCGGCCATGTTGTCCGGATTCCTGACCACCGTCTCCCAAAGCAGTTGCTCTACTCTGAACTTAAGAACGGAAAACAGAATGTTGGTGGACAGGAAAAGAGATTCAAAGATGGCCTCAAAGCCAACCTTAAAAACTCAGGCATAGACACTGAGAACTGGGAAGCCCTGGCCCTTGAGCGCTCCAGCTGGAGGTCAGCTGTGACCAGCAGTGCTACAGAATTCAAGGAGACACGAGTGGAGGGTGAAAGAGAGAAACATGCCAGGAGGAAGGCGCGTCAAGCTAACCCCGACCGGGACCGCCTTCCACCTGGAAACCAATGCCTTCACTCTGGGAGAAGATGCGAATCAAGAATAGGGCTCCACAGCCACCTATGAACCCACAAGGAAACCCATCATGGAAGACATCTTACTCGTCCAACGAGGGATTGCCTAAGTAAGTAAGTAAAAATGTTGGAAATTCCATAACCTGTTGGAATTAACTACACCATAACCTTACTGAAAAGGTTAAAATGATGTCACATCCATTAATGTTTTAACTATTTATAATTATTGGTTTTGATATGGATTCTAATGTGTTATTGTAGGCATCAAATATGTGCTGGCTGGAGGCCGTTCTGAGTCCACTCCCCCCCCCCCCCCGGGGTTGAGAAGGGCGGAGTATAAATATCCTAAATAAATAAATAAACGTGAACATGTGGAGGCCACCTTTTGAAAACCACTAGTCAAGAAAAGCATGACCTTGCTAGAAGTCAACTCTTTGTATGCTGTCACACGCTGAGCCTATAGCAGTTGGCTTTTGAACAGGATGTGCTCTTTGTGCCCAGAGGGAAGCCAGGGTGCCTTGAGTGAGAGGCCCTAAGGATTTTCCTATACAGAGTCTTTAGAAGCTTGAAAGGTTTAACAAAGTCCTTTATTATTAAGTTCTTGTGGGTTTTTTCGGGTTTTTTGGTCAAGAACAAGCCACGAGAGTAAAGATGAAGATCCACCCAGAGGAAAAGTGTTCCTGCCATACATCAAGGGAACCACTGACCACATAGGGAAGCTGATGAGGAAAGACAACATACAAACAATCTACAAACCCACCAAGAAAACCCAACAAATGCTACGTTCAGCAAAGGACAAGAGGGATCCTCTCACCTCTGCAGGAGTCTACCGTGTACCATGCAGCTGTGGACAAGTCTACAGAGGGACCACCAAACACAGCATTGCCCAAACACGAATCAAGGAACATGAAAGGCACTGCAGACTACTTCAACCAGAGAAGTCAGCCATAGCAGAGCACCTGATGAACCAGCCTGGACACAGCATATTATTTGAGAACACAGAAATGCTGGACCACTCACCAACAACCACCATGTCAGACTACACAGAGAAGCCATTGAAATCCACAAGCATGTGGACAATTTCAACAGAAAGGAAGAGACCATGAAAATGAACAAATCTGGCTACCAGTATTAAAAAAACTCTAAAATTACAACAGCAAAACAGCAGAGAGGAAACAACCAGGCACATCTTAACACCTCTCAACAAAAGATTTCCCAGGCTCAGCCAGGCCTTCAAATGCTAATGAAGGTGGTCAGTTGAAACATTCACACCTAGCTCCAGCAGAGAAGAGCTCTTTGCCCCACCCCAGCCATTCCACAGATATATAAACCCATGGTCCTAATTCCAACAGACCTCACTACCTCTGAGGATGCTTGCCATAGATGCAGGCGAAACGTCAGGAGAAATGCCTCTAGAACATGGCCCTATAGCCCGAAAAAACCCACAAGAACCTAGTGATTCTAGCCATGAAAGCCTTCCTTTATTATTGCTTAAGTCCTCAACAAACAATCAAATACTTCTTAGATCTTCAACACATTAAACAAATGCTTCAAGGCTTTGAGTCAACTGGTGGCTTTCTTAATCTTGTCCACAAAGGACAGGCAACTATCTTCGTGAACTGCTTCTTTTCTTTAAGAGCAGTGGTTCTCAACCTTCCGGATGCCGCGACCCCTTAATACAGTTCCTCATGTTGTGGTGACCCCCAACCATAACCCTAACATTATGAATCGCCATGTAAATAATGATCTTCAGGATGTATTTTCATTCACTGGAACAAATTTTGCACAAATACCCGGTATGCCCAAATTTGAATACTGGTGGGGTTGGCGGGGGGATTGATTTTGTCATTTGGGAGTTGTAGTTGCTGGGATGTATAGTTAACATGTAAACAAAGAGCATTCTGAACCCCACCAACAATGGAATTGAACCAACGTTGGCACAGAGAACTCCCATGACCAACAGAAAATACTGGAAGGGTTTGGTTGGCATTGACCTTGAGTTTGGGAGTTGTAGTTCGCCTACATCCAGAGAGCACTGTGGGCTCAAACAATGATGGATCTGGATCAAACTTGGCACGGATACCCAATATGCCCAAACGTGAACACTGATGGGGTTTGGGGAAAATAGACTGACATTTGGGAGTTGTACTTGCTGGGATTTATAGTTCACCTACAATCAAGGAGCGTTCTGAACCCCACCAATGATAGAATTGGGCCAAACTTCCCACACAGAACCCCTATGACCAACAGAAAATGCCGTGTTTTGTGATGGTCTTTGGTGACCCCTCTGACACCCTTTCGCGACCCCCCCAGGGGTCACGACCCCCAGGTTGAGAAACACTGTTTAAGAGGAAAACCTTTTTTAACCCCTCCTTGGGTAATCTACTTTCTAAACTTTGCTGGTGTGGTCTCTACTCCCGGCTCCAACTGCTTCTTGGGTCCCAAGTAGACCTACCAGTCAAAGCTTTGTAAATTCTCCAGCTGGAGTCTTTTGGAACTGTTTTCCCTGGAATTTGCCTCGGATACTGTGAGAAACAAAGCTTCTCTACAGGTGGAGCTAATCCACATCCTGTAGCTAAGCTTTCAACTGTAAGACTAAACTAAAATGGCTCCCTTTCCTCCCAGAGCCCTGGGGAAAGGGGCGGAACCAAAACTTAATAATGATTGATGGGTCATTGGCCCTATAATTGCAAACCAAGGGAAGCCACCTTATTGCAAAATGCATGGGACTTTGGAATACATGCAAACACTCAAAGAAAGAAAAGGAAGTTGGAGCTTTCGGTACAGTCGTACCAACACACTTTGAAGAAGTGATATTCACAAGCACTCATGTAATGGCACACATGTAACTCAGCTGTTAAACTGAAGAACCATGCCTTTAAATTGCCAAGGATAAAGACATGCCACTACAAAATATATATATTGGGTTAACAGAGGAGGATTGTTTCTTAGAAGTAGAATTTGTAGTTGCAATTTCCCAAAAGATATACACTCCCTTGAAACCTATTAGTTAAAATATGCACTCAGAGATAAAAACATAGTCGTCTTTGAAAAATAACATATCTTGTTTACTCATAAACAGCTATTAATTCAATGTATTGTTGAAGGCTTTCATGGCTGGAATCACTAGGTTCTTGTGGGTTTTTTCGGGCTATAGGGCCATGTTCTAGAGGCATTTCTCCTGACGTTTCGCCTGCATCTATGGCAAGCATCCTCAGAGGTAGTGAGGTCTGTTGGAATTAGGACAATGGGTTTAATATATCTGTGGAATGGCTGGGGTGGGGCAAGGAGCAGAGAGGAAACAACCAGGCACATCTTAACACCTCTCAACAAAAGATTTTCCCAGGCTCAGCCAGGCCTTCAAATGCTAATGAAGGTGGTCAGTTGAAACATTCACACCTAGCTCCAGCAGACAAGAGCTCTTTGCCCCACCCCAGTCATTCCACAGATATATAAACCCATTGTCCTAATTCCAACAGACCTCACTACCTCTGAGGATGCTTGCCATAGATGCAGGCGAAACGTCAGGAGAAATGCCTCTAGAACATGGCCCTATAGCCCGAAAAAACCCACAAGAACCTAACTAATTAATTCACCATACAGGCACATTTCTTATTTGAGTTCAGTAGAGTCAAGCTGGCAAACCAAAATGTACATACACTATTTAACAATTAACAATTATACACATTTACAAACAGTTAGTGAAGGCTTGGAAGGTTGCTATTTCCAACAAAAATGGGGTCCCTGGTATAAATAGCAAAACAACAACTGGCACCACATGTCTAAGTAAGTTCTGAAGAGAGTTTTATTGGCTCCAAGCACGGCGTGGGTGGATGGCTTTTGTCATGAAATCTGATTTAATTTTTTTTGGTTTGGTGTTCTGAAAACAATTCTGGCAAATAAAGGACACTAGGCAGTCAAAACACCCCCAGAGCTGGTTGCGATCCGTCCCCACAAAACTATTCGTAACGATGCTTGCGCCTCTTGGCCGCGGAGCGGATCATGGCGGCTGCTACACCCATCATGCCAATCGTCCCCACCGCAATGGCCTCCGTGACCTGTGGGAAGAAGAGGGAGAAAAGCATCATCAAAGCACTCTCAGCAGGTTTACAAGCCTCCAAGGAAGGAGCTTCCACCTTTTGGAAAATGCTAATTTCCGTAATTTTTTGGAGATTTTAGGATCTTTGGAAAGGGATGACCTTTAAAAGTCACAACCTTTTAAAAAAATGATGCCATAACCTCTTGGTAAAAAGCATGACCAGTTAGACCAGTGGTTCTCAACCTGGGGGTCGCGGCCCCCCGAGGGGTCGCCTGGCCATTTCAGAGGGGTCGCGAGGTTGCCTCCTTTGGCCCCGCCCCCCCGACTCCCGAAATAGCAGCCAGGCACCAGGACCACCCTCTTCTCGCCCCCTTCAAGGCCTCCACCGCTGGTGGAAGCCTCCAAAAGGACGAGAGGAACGTGGGACAGAAGGAGCAGCGAGGCTTGCACTCGCCCTTCTTTTCTGGGCTCTTCCTCCTCCTCCTCTCCGTTTGGGGACCTCCAAACGGAAAGGAGGAGGGGGAAGACCCTAGAAGAGAAGGAGGACAAGGCTCGCTGCTTCTGCCGCCCTGTGCCACCCTCTTCTCACACCCTTCGAGGCCTCTGCCGCTGGTGGAAGCCTCGATAAGGGTGAGAGAAGCATGGGGCAGAAGGAGCAGCGAGGCCTGCACTCGCCCTTCTCTGGGCTCTTCTTCCTCCTCCTCTCCGTTTGGGGACCTCCAGTATTTTCTGTTGGCCATGTGGGTTCTCTGTGCCAAGTTTGGTCCAGTCTTTGAACTGTCAGGGATAAAGATATGCCAATGCACAAAACGCAAATATATTCAGCAAAGTTTCAGAAGTGTTCCTTTTAGTTGCCCAAAAAACACTTAAAAGGTAAAACTAAAGGTTTCCCCTTGACAATAAGTGTAGTTGTGTGTGACTCTGGGGAGTGGTGCTTATCTCAGTTTCTAAGCCAAACAGCCGGCATTGTCCCAATACACCTCCAAAGTCATGTGGCCTTGGAGCATGGAGTGCCATTACCTTCCTACAGAAGCTGTAGCTATTGATCTCACATTTGCATGTTTTTGAACTGATAGGTTGGCTGGAGCTGGGCTAACAGCTGGTGCCCACTCCACTCCCCGGATTCAAACTGCTAACCTTTCAGTCAGCAAGTTCAGCAGCTCAGCGGTTTAACCTGCTGTGCCACTCTCCCTTAAAATATATTTGCCTTTAAATTATGCTCTCAAGAGACAAAAGTAAGTAGACTTCTTTAAAAGTAACATAGTTGGTGTACTCACAAACTTCATATATTCAGCATACAGGTACTTTGCTTATCAATCAAGTTACAAATAGGATTTGAAGTAGGACATCTTTATCATAATCAATACTCCAAAGTATCTCTGTTCTGAGAGTCTAATAGAGTCTCTGTCTAGTCTAAAAGCCCAATGGAATCTCTAAACATACTGTTTCTACTGAAGTCTCTAAACATACAGTTCCTACATCTTAAAAGCATACTGTTCCTGCTGGTGTCTGAAAACATACAGTTTCTACTGAAGTCTCTTGTTGCAACTCAGAGTAAGCTTCACCTTGCTTCCAAACACCACCACACAACAGCTGTAGTTTTATAGTTTACTGAGGAAAAAAATCCAAGTCAAAATAAAGAATAAGCATTGTAAAGTTCCAAAGATTAAGGTTAAAAGCAGAATATAGTTTCAAAGATCTTCAGGTAAAAACAAGAAACACAATCGTATTGGCAAAGTTCAAACCAGAGTCCCAGATACAACCAATGAAACAATTGCCCCATGAATCACAATGCAAGACATCCCAAGTGTACTGCTTTCCAGGCTAAGGTTATTCCATGAAGCTTTCAGGCTAGTAAGCTACGTTGAACTGACGCTTTCTCAGGGTTTGCAAGAGGCCTCTAAATACCTTTCTAACATGAAAACATTAGGCTCTCATCATCATAAAAGCATTGCGATGATCTTTCACCGAGGTGGCTTCTTGTCTGCTGGCCAGATGAGAACTTTGCCTGACCCGGAGATCAAGATGAGCTTGCCGGGTCAAGTCACTATCTAAACTTTCGGTATCAGCGTGGGAAGGCACCTGCTCGCGATCTCCTTCGTTAAAATTCCTTTCTGCTGGGAACGGCTGTGTTGACATTGCACTGTCTGTGGGAACCTCAGAAGCAGGCCCAGGGATTTGAGGCACAGAGAAAGAGCCAGGAAGCTTAATCCCAACAGGAATCTGAATCCCATCATCCTCATCATCAGAAAATAGCTCAGCCACAACATCTCTAAGCATACAGTTTCTACATTGAAGTCTAATCTGTATTGATCTAAAATGGAGTCTGAGTCCTGAACAAGCCCAGTTCTGATCACATAGTCTGCAGCCCCTCCCACAACAAAGAGGTTAAAGAAAACTGCAAACCAATAGACACATATACAATACAGTAAGCAATGTGAATTATCTACATAACAAATAACTAGTGGAAGCTTGAGAAGTTTGCTATTTCCAACACCACCAGGCTCTGAGGCAGAGAGTTCCACTGTTGAACAGCTCTGACAGTCAGGAAGTTCAGGTGGAATCTCCTTTTCTGCCTCCATCCAATGCTAGACTTTCACGTCCTCACCTGGTCACTCATGGCGACTCCGTACCGCAGGTCCATCACAAAGTGTTCACAGTTATGGCTGGTCAGGTTGTATGGCATCTCCTGCCCCACCAGCTCCTCTGCCCGCTGGAGGATCTTGGTGAGGGGCAACTGGGGGTGCGTGTAGTCATGTTTGTTGTTCACCCGGTACTGGTCCTTCCGCACCACCGTCTCCAGCCAGTCTTTCTTGACGTACGCCCGGTCAGACAAAACCGCCAGGACACTGGCTGCACCATTCGCTAGGCGGTCACCTTGGGGCAGGAAACAAGGATTGGGGATCAAGCTTCAGCAGATACCCGTTTTCCCCAGGATAGTTACTCTTCCAGGAGCAAATTTCCATTCTGAGGAGTGGATTTCTCTCACTGAAGTCAAACATGACCCCCCCCCCCAAATAAGAAATAGTAACTTATAGTTTTGCTAAGGGCAAGGACACCAGAGACACACCTGGGCTCCTGATGGTCCCCATCTCTGAAAAAGCAATTAGCGATCATGAAAACCCTTATCTTAGAACATTTCTTGCATGGAAAATAACAAAGTAATATCTTTCTTGACTTCGGAGTCGGCCCATCAAGAGGATAATCATTTGGCAGACGTTTTAATCATATAACAATGGGGGGAAAGATGAGCTTCGGAAAGTCCTTTTTCCTCCCAACCCGTTTTCTTTCAACCCTTTTCCATTAAAGACATTCACCCAAGCTCTCCCCCTTTGTGCCTCTGCCTGACCGCAAGAGGAAAACCTGAATTAAGTGATCAATGCTTATCTCAGATCAACCACGACACAATAGACAAGTTTTGCTTGAAGGCCATATAGGACTCGCTGAGCCACATGGACATTTCCTGAGTTCCATAATCCATTCAAGAATGCATTATATTCCCTTTTCCCACCTCCCTCCCTCCTGATTTGTCGACACGCCAAGGCGGCAGAAGCCCTGTGATTGGCCCAAGCGTTCGAGGGGCAGACGAGCCTCCTCCCAGTTGTTGAGGCGCCAGCCAATCACCTTCAAGCCAGGCCCGGGGGGGGGGGCAGGGGTGGGAGATTCAAACCCCACAATCTGTTTTTTCTATAAAAATGGCATTTATTTGTGTACACGTAAGCTTGGCGAATGATTGCCGCTTTGCATCCTTTTCAGCTGAATCGCTAATAAATCATCTCGGTGGCGCTTTCTTCAACTTTGGTGAGATTCTTTTTGGGAACTTAGGGAAAATAAATTGCTTAAAATTAGGCTTCTCTTTGCTCACCAATGTAGCGATCCCTCTTTGGTGGAGCCGCAGGGTCTCTCCTCCTGGGGTAGACTGTTCTAAAGTTCCTATCGACTTCATCACTTCCTGTGGTCTCACCCCTGTTTTTAACTATGAGTCATTTGTTTGTAACTCGGGGTCTGCTTGTACCGTATATCACAGGCATGGGCAAACTTGGGCCCTCCAGGTGTTTTGGACAACAACTCCCACAATTCCTAATAGACTCAGACACATTCCTTTCCCCCCTCTACACGTGCGCGCGCAAACACACACACACCTATATGGCAACTTACATTCGGGGGCTAAGTGGACCACTTTGCCCTCTCCAACATAGATAGCCCAGTGCTGATAACAGGAGCGGAAGATCTCAATCAAGTCCCCGGGTTTTATTTCGTCCTGAGAAAAACAGAGGGGAGAGTATCCTTATTCTTCTAAATCAGTGGTTCTCAACCTGGGGGTCGCGACCCCCAGAGGGGTTGTTTGGCAATTCTCGAGGGGTCGCGGCCCTGCCTCCTTGTGCAGGCCCCATGTGTAATCCTCAGGATGCTGGTGAAGTTCAGAAGGCTCTTTGATCAAAGGGGAACTATAAATCCACACAAGTGCATCTCTCAAATACCAAGGTCTATTTTCTCCAAATTCCACCAGGGTTCAAATTTGGGAATATTGAGCATTTGTGCCAAATTTGGTCCAGACCCATTGTCGTTTGGGCTCATAGTGCTCTCCAGATGTAGGTGAACCACAACTCCCAAACTCAAGATCAATGCCCACCAAACCCTTCCAGTATCTTATGTTGATCATGTTCTACATCTCTCATAAATCACTGTCAATTCCTCCCAACCCCCTCCAGTATTTTCTTTTAGTAATGGGGGTCCTGTGTGATGGATTTGGCCCATGTATGTTATTTGTGGGGGTCTCAGTGGTCTGTGGAAGTCAGAGCTCAGTCAGTTGAAGGTACTGCAGATCCCATCATCCATTGTCCATACTCCCCCAAACATTGATTAATTATGCATTAATTATGTTCCAATTTGTAATGGAAATACATCCAGCATATCAGATATTTACATTATGATTCATAATAGTATCAGTTATGAAGTAGCAATGAAAATATGGTTGAGGGTCACCACAACACGAGGAACTGGATTTAGGGGTCACGGCATTAGGAAGGTTGAGAACCACTGTTCTAAATAGATCCTTCCCCCCCCCCCCAAAATCTCCAGTGAGCTCCAGATTTTGAAAAAGAAATGTTTATTCATCTCCTACCCACCACAATTTGGACAACAAGACCTATCACCCCCAACAGTACAGAGGTTTGGATTTATAGAAGTTTTCAGACCCAATCCAGCTGCCCAGATTCCCCACAAAGTTATTATTTTTTAAAATGCTTTTAATTACTCCCAGGCAATTGTGTAGAAATGGCAACCTTCTTCAAGCCTCCAGTAGTTATTTGTTATGTATGCAATTCAGATTGCTTGCTGTATTGTATATGCGTGTATTGGTATGCAGTTTTCTTTAACTCTATGTTTTAGGAGGGGCTGCAGACATGTGATCAGATCTGGGACTATTCAGGACTCAGACTCCATTTTAGAAGTCAATAAAAACAGAATGCTCTACAGCATTGGTTCTCAACTTTCCTAATGCTGCAACCCCTTAATATAGTTCTTTGTGCTGTGGTAATTAGGGCTGGGCGGTTTCGTTTCGTTAATTCGTAATTCGTTAATAATTCGTTAATTTTTTCAATTACAAAACGATAACGAACCATTCTGGAGCAATTATTAAAAAAACGAATTTTCCAAATCGTTTTGTAAATGCTTCGTATTTCGATATTGTATTCGTTTCGTTATTGTTTTGAGGTCGTTTCGTTATTATTTCCGCATGTCTGGGCCAGTTTTATGGTTTAATTAGTGAAAAAAAATTATAATATCACGCCAACAGTCAACAACAGAGGGAGAGGGAAGCTTCAGAAGGTTTTGGAGGTTTTTTAGCGTATTTCGCGGTCGCGTCCGCCATTAACGAATCGATTCGTTATTGTTTCGGAAATCGATTCGTTAATTTTTTACCATTTACGAAATTTCGTAAATATCGAACTTTTTAAAAGGAAAATTTTGTAATTATTTTAAATATCGAAACAAAAAAACCCCCCAAATGCAAATCGATTTTAGAAACAAATTTTTCCGTTGTTACCCAGGCCTAGTAACAACCTGGGGATCACAACCAGACACAGTGAAGACATCTGCCCTTGCGCTGTGCTACTCTGCTGCTGAGTACGCATGCCCAGTCTGGAACACATCTCACCACACTAAAACAGTGGATGTGGCTCTTAATGAGACATGCCGCATTATCACGGGGTGTCTGCGCCCTACACCACTGGAGAAATTACACTGCTTAGCCGGTATTGCACCACCTGACATCCGCCGGGAAGTAGCAGCCGATAGTGAAAGGACCAAGGCAGAGACATCTCCAGCTCATCCCCTGTTTGGGTATCAGCCAGCACGTCAACGACTTAAATCAAGACATAGTTTTCTTAGATCTACAGAGACACTCGCTGGAACACCTCAGCAAGCGAGAGTCCAAAAGTGGCAGGCTCAAACCCAGAACCTCAATCAATGGCTGATACCAAATGAGAGACTCCCCCCTGGGCACACAGAGGACTGGGCGACTTGGAAGGCGCTGAACAGACTGCGCTCTGGCACCACGAGATGCAGAGCCAACTTCAAGAAATGGGGCCACAAAGTGGAATCCACGACATGCGAGTGTGGAGAAGAGCAAACCACTGACCACCTGCTGCAATGCACCCTGAGCCCTGCCACATGCACAAGGGAGGACCTCCTTGCAGCAACACCAGAGGCACTCCAAGTGGCCAGATTCTGGTCAAAGGACATTTAATCAACTACCAAACTCGCAAATTTTGTATTTTCTCTGTTTGTTTGCTTTGGTCTGTTAGAAATGTAATATAATTGACTGGCTGCCCTGACACGAGAAAAAAAAAACCCAGGTAAAGGTTTCCCCCCGACACTTTGCCTACCTGCTCATTCATTTCAGGTCCATAACGTAGCTCCATAACAAAATGTTCACTGTTCTGACTGGTCAAACTATAGGGCATCTCTTTGCCCACCAGTTCCTCTGACTGCCAAAGGATCTTGGCCAGAGGGAGAGGCTGGTGCGTCTCGTCATGTTTATTGTTCACTCGGTACCGGTCTTTCCGCACAACGTCTTCCAGCCAGTCCTTCCTGACATAAGCCTGATCGGATAAGATTGCCAAGGTGTCGGGGTTTCCATCTCCAAGATGCTCACCTGGGAAAGAGAGAAAGGAAGGATGAGAACAGAGCCATCCACACTACTGATAGAATAGGAACCCAGATAGGGAAAGTGTCCAGAATTCCAGTTTGCAAGATCTACTTTGAGGTTTTGTTGTGGAAGAGCTCAAAGACCAAAATGGAAAACAGGTGCAAAGTACCAGCAATGTCTTGGGCATTGTTACTCAACCTGGGGGTCGTAAAGGTTTCAGAGGGGTCATCAAAGACCATCAGAAAACATATTTCTGATGGTCTTAGGCAGAGGCGGCCCTAGGTAATTTTCAACAGTAAGCAAACAGTGTTTTGGCGCCCCCCCCCCCCCAAAACCAACCAATCATTTATATATAGTGTCGAAGGCTTTCATGGCTGGAATCACTAGGTTCTTGTAGGTTTTTTCGGGCTATAGGGCCATGTTCTAGAGGCATTCTCTCCTGACATTTCACCTGCATCTATGGCAAGCATCCTCAGAGGTAGTGAGGTCTGTTGGAAATAGAAAAATGGGTTTATATATCTGTGGGATGACCAGGGTGAGACAAAGAGCTCTCTGCTGAAGCTAGGTGTGAATGTTTCAGCTGACCACCTTCATTAGCATTTGAAGGCCTGGCTGAGCCTGGGAAAATGTTCTGTTGAGAGGTGTTAAGATGTGCCTGGTTGTTTCCTCTCTGCTGTTTTACTGTAGTAATTTTAGAGTTTGATATATATTTTCTGTTTGTCGTGGGAGTTCTGTGTGACATATTTGGTTCAATTCCATCATTGGTGGAGTTCAGAATGCAGCACACCCAAATACCTGGGAGTCACTCTGGGCCGTGCTCTTACCTACAAGAAGCACTGCCTGAATATCAAGCAAAAAGTGGGTGCTAGAAACAATATCATATGAAAGCTGACTGGCACAACCTGGGGATCACAAGCAGACTCAGTGAAGACATCTGCCCTTGCGCTATACTACTCTGCTGCTGAGTATGCATGCCCAGTGTGGAACACATCTCACCACACTAAAACAGTGGATGTGGCTCTTAATGAGATATGCCGCATTATCACCGGGTGTCTGCGCCCTACACCACTGGAGAAATTACACTGCTTAGCCGGTATTGCACCACCTGACATCCGCCGGGAAGTAGCAGCCAATAGTGAAAGGACCAAGGCAGAGACATCTCCAGCTCATCCCTTGTTTGGGTATCAGCCAGCACGCCAATGACTTAAATCTAGAAATAGTTTTCTAAGATCTACAGAGACACTTGCTGGAACACCCCAGCAAGCGAGAGTCCAAAAGTGGCAGGATCAAACCCAGAACCTAAACCAATGGCTGATACCAAATGAGAGACTCCCCCCTGGGCACACAGAGAACTGGGCTACTTGGAAGGCGCTGAACAGACTGCGCTCTGGCACCACAAGATGCAGAGCCAACCTTCAGAAATGGGGCCACAAAGTGGAATCCTCGACATGCGAGTGTGGAGAAGAGCAAACCACTGACCACCTGCTGCAATGCACCCTGAGCCCTGCCACATGCACGATGGAGGACCTTCTTGCGGCAACACCAGAGGCACTCCAAGGAGCCAGATATTGGTCAAAGGACATTTAATCAACTACCAAGCTTGCAAACTTTGTATTTTGTCTGTTTGTTTGCTTTGTTCTGTTAGAAATGTAATATAATTGACTGGCTGCCCTGACACGATAAATAAATAGAAGGCTTTGATTGTAGGTGAACTATAAATCCCAGCAACTACAACTCCCAAATGTCAAGGTCTATTTTCCCCAAACTTCACCAGTGTTTGGGCATATTGAGTATTCATGCCAAGTTTGATCCAGATCCATTATTGATTGAGTACACAGTGCTCTCTGGATGTAGGTGAACCACAACTCCAAAATTCAAGGTCAGTGCTCACCAAACCCTTCCAGTATTTTCTGTTGGTTCATGGAAGTTCTGTGTGCCAAGTTTGGTTCAATTTCATCATTGGTGGTGTTCAGAATGCTCTTTGATTGTAGGTGAACTATAATTCCCAGCAACTACAACTCCCAAATGACAAAATCAATCCCCCGAATACCACCAGTATTCAAATTCGGGCATATCGGGTATTTGTGCCAAATTTGGGTCCAGTGAATGAAAATACATCCTGCATATCAGGTATTTACAGTATCAAAATTAGAGTTATGAAGTAGCAACAAAAATAATGTTGTGGTTGGGGGTCAGCACAATCTGAGGAACAGTATTAAGGGGTCGCAGCATTAGGAAGGTTGAGAAACACTGTATTAAGGGGTAATTAGGGTTGGGAACCACTATATTAAGGGGTCGCGGCATTAGGAAGGTTGAGAACCACTGGTGTAAGTGGACACCCCAGCCACACACACACACACACACACACACACACACACACACACATACACACACATTTTCACTTTTATTATGTGTCGAGATTAGTGGTTCCCAACCTTTGCACCTCCAGGTGGTAATGAAATGGCAAGGAGAAGGTTTCAGGAAAAGAGACAAAGAGAGGTCCGGAGGTCTCAAAAGCATGGATTTTATTTCCTGCTGGGGCTCTGGAGTGGACTATGTCCCAAAGCATCCAGAGCAATGATATAGGTGCAGACTATGCCTTTTATAGCCTCCAAATGCAGGCAAACAAAGAACATGCGTCTACATACATTGACCTCATTCACTACGTCACCTTAGCACAGTGGTTCTCAACCTTCCTAATGCTGCGACCCCCTTAATAGAGTTCCTCATGTGGTGGTGACCCCCAACCATAAAATTATTTTCATTACTACTTCACAACTGTAATTTTGCTACTGTTATGCAGGATGTATTTTCATTCACTGGACCAAATTTGGCACAAAGACCCAATACGCTCAAATTCGAATACTGGTGGGATTGAGGGGGATTGATTCCATCATTTGGGAGTTGTAGTTGCTGGAATTTATAGTTCATCTGCAATCAAAGAGCATTCTGAACTCCACCAATGATAGAATTGAACCAAACGTGGCACACAGAACTCCCATGACTAACAGAAAATACTGGAAAGGTTTGGTGGGCATTGACCTTGAGTATTGGAATTGTAGTTCACCTACATCCAGAGAGCACTGTGGACTCAAACAATGATGGATCTGGACCAAACTCTACACAAATACTCAATATGCCCAAATGTGGACTCAAATCAATGATGGATCTGGACCAAACTTGGCATGAAAATCAATATGTCCAAATGTGAACTTTGGTGGAGTGTAGGGAAAATCGACTTGGCATTTGGGAGTTGTAGTTGCTGGGATTCATCGTTCACCTACAATCAAAGAACATTCTGAACCCCACCAAAGTTAGAATTGGGCCAAACTTCCCATACAGAAACCCCATGACCAACAGAAAATACTGGTCTTTAGCGACCTCTCTGACACCCCCTCACGACCCCTCTAGAGGTCCCGACCCCCAGGTTGAGAAACACTGCCTTAATACAATCCCTCATGTTGTGGTGACCCCCAACCATAATATTGTTTTGTTGCTACTTCATAACAGTCATTTTACTACTGTTATAAATCATATTGTAAATATCTGATATGCAGGATGCATTTTCATTCACTGGACCAATCTGGGCACAAATACCCAATACACCCAAACGTGAATTCTAGTGGAGTTGGGGGAAGACTGATTTTGTAATTTGGGAGTTGTAGTTGCTGGGATTTATAGTTTACCTATAATCAAAGAGCATTCTGAACTGCACCAGCGATGGATTTGAACCAAACTTGGCTCCCATGACCAATGGAAAACACTGGAAGGCTTTGATGGGCATTGACCTTGAGTTTGGGAGTTGTAGTTCACCTATATCCAGAGAGCACTGTGGACATGCAATGGTGGATCTGGACCAAACTTGGCACGAATACTCAATATGCCCAAATGTGTACACTGGTGGAGTCTGTGGAAAATAGATCTTGACATTTGGGAGTTGTAGTTGCTGGGATTTATAGTTCATTACAATCAAAGAACATTCTGAACTCCACCAGCAATAGAATTGGCTCAAACTTCTCACATGGAATCCCCATGACCATCAGAAAATACTGTGTTTTCTTATGGTTTTTGGTGACCCCTCTGACACCCCTTCACGACCCCCTCAGGGGTCCCAACTCCCAGGTTGAGAAACACTGACTTACACAGACAAGCTCCTGCTTCCACAAACAGCTGCAGCTCCCACTACCCAGGAGACATCAAAGGCCCCCCTCTCAATGACATTGCAGGTTATTGTGAGCACCATGAACATGTCCAAGAGCCCTTCCAATGTCCTCCACCAACACCATCCTGCCCACCACCCAAGTGAAGACCATACGGGGACAATTTCACCCTTGATTTCATGTGTTTCCTCCACCACAGATACCCCAGTGTTTATGACTCTCTCCATTGGTGTGGAATTTGCATGACCCCGCCCACTGCTTCTCCCTTCACCCTTTCCTAGTCTTTTCTATGGCACATGGCAAACAGAGGAATTGACCAGCAAGTGAACATACTTGGGGAGAATTCACTATGATTTATAGGAGTTGTAGGTACTGGGATGTATGTGGGTTCTAACCGTGCTAATCTAGGGTAATCTGGGAGCTGTAGTGCAAGCAGCAACTTTTCCAAAGTAAGCACCAATGTATATATAGCCAAAATGGCACCACTCCCCAAAAGAAAAAGGTACTGGTACACCATAAGGTTTTAAATACCTCCAAGATGGGGTGCATGGGGAGCAACCAAGAGTATATTACCGTACTTACAATCAGTTGCCAAGTGGACAACCTTTCGATCCCCAATATACATTGCCCAGTGTTGACAAGAAGAACGGAAGATCTCAATGAGGTCTCCAGGTTTCAATTCATCCTACGAAAAACAAGAGTTTGATTATCACCACCCCAAACTTGACCGATAGCCAGTATCCCCATACTATGCACTCCTGGGAGTTATAGTTTTTTGTTTTTTTCATCATCATTTAATAACTTATTAATCGCCCTCCATCCAAAAATGCTCTAGGCAATTTACAGCTAAATTATAAAAGATAAAATACATACATACAAAACTTAAAAATTAACAGAGATCGAATGCTCTAGTAAAAAGCCAGGTCTTCAGTGCGAGAGTAAAGGGCCCTAAGTCACGCCTGGCTCTCATGTAGGGCGGCAAGGAATTCCACAAGGCAGGGGCAGAAATATTTATTTATTTATTTATTTCACAGTTTTCTATACCGAGCTTCTCAACCTCATTGAGGGACTCAGCCCGGTTTCCAGCCATAAAAAACATATACACTCATTAAAATATCATATATCACAATTACAAAAACAACTTTAAAACACTATATATAAAACTACAGTGGTCAGTCGTCCTATTAAGATGGATCTACATCAACTTCCATCCAGGGTCCTATGGTGTTGTCTCATTCATCGAAGGCCTGACTCCACAGCCACGTCTTCACCCGTTTCCTAAATGTTAGGATGGATGGGGCGGTTCTGGCCTCCAGAGGGAGAGAGTTCCAGAGTCGCGGGGCCACCACCGAGAAGGCCCTGTCCCTCGTCCCCACCAGGCGCGCTTGCGAGGCCGGTGGGACCGAGAGCAGGGCCTCTCCAGACGATCTTAGTAATCTTGATGGTTCGTAGGGGAGAATACGTTTGGAGAGGTAAACAGGGCCGGAGTCGTTTAGGGCTTTATAGGTTAACACCAGCACTTTGAATTGTGCTCGGAAGCTAATTGGCAGCCAGTGGAGCTGGCGTAACAGCGGAGTGGTGTGCTCCCTGTACCCAGCCCCCGTTAGTAATCTGGCTGCCACGCGTTGGACTTGCTGCAGCTTCCGGGCAGTCTTCAAAGGCAACCCCACGTAGAGAGCGTTGCAGTAGTCTAAGCGGGATGTAACCAAAGCGTGTACTACCGTGGCCAAGTCAGCCCTCCCAAGGTACGGATGCAGCTGGCGCACAAGTTTTAATTGTGCAAATGCTCCCCTGACCACCGCTGAGACCTGGGGTTCCAAGCTCAGCGATGAATCCAGGAGAACTCCCAGACTGCGTACCTGAGCTTTCAGGGGGAGTGTGACCCCGTCCAGCACAGGCTGTAACCCCGTACCCTGTTCGGTCTTACGATAGAAAAAGCCCTGCGCCTGGTCCTTTCCAAGTGCACTTCTCTAGGACCCGGTATATGGAGTAAGTCACGTTGGGCTGGTTGTTGCGACCTCTGATGATGGGAGAAGAAGAGGCGGTCCCTAAGGTACGATGGACCCTGGCCATAAAGAGTTTTAAAGGTCAGAACTAACACCTTATACAGGCCACGGTAGTCAGTTGGAAGCTGTACAGGAGTTGATTATAAATTGTATGATTTTAACTGTATTTGTGTTTAAATTGGCTGCAGTAATGCTGGAGCGGCTTAAGTCAGAGGAGTTCTCCATGTGCGTTGCCATGGAGACCGATGCAGGAGAGAGGGAAGTGGGAGGAGCTTAGAGGGGAGAGTTTGAAAAAAACGACAGTTAAAAAATCAGTTAGGGTTTAGGTTTAGAGGAGTGAGCAGTTAGGAGTTAGGTTCAGAGGAGTGAGGAGTTAGGAGTTGGGAGAGAAGGAAAGGAAATGTGGCAGAGTGACTTGTGAAGCAAAACTTGGAGGCTTGAAAAGCTGGGTTTGGCTATTGGAAGTTTCTCAGGCTAGTGCAGCCGAATGGTGAAACATAGCTGGTATTCTGTTAGTCTAAGGAGAGGCTAAATAATAGTTTACTTAGTATTTGATATAGGGAGGATCAACTAAGGGAAACATCCCTGTATGGAAACTTTGTCTGAAAAAAGTGCTCTACGTCAGAAAGATACTGTGTTACTTGAAAGAATGAACTGTTAAAGTTACAAGTATTATTCCAAGTGTAACAAGGAAAAGTTATGTCTTGCATCCACACGCTGTGTACTTAATAAAATTGTTAACTTCTATTTGAAGATTGCCTCAGCTCCGTCTATCCTGTGTACAAAGTGCCATTTCTCACAATATTACAACTTACCTCACGTGGTGGCAGAAACCCAGGGAAAAGTAACCAAATAAATCTACATTCTTCTCTCCAGTCACACTACAGTATATACAGTGTAATTACTACTAAGTTATTACTTTCTTAATAAAGGAGGAGGTGCAATTGAACAGCCTCCCTTCTAACTTGAGGGTAAATTTGGTTCCTAATCAGCAACCTCCATTGCAAATCGGCTAGTTCTTTTAAAAATTGGGAACTGGGGTAAAATCTCCTGAATACTGGTTCCTTTCAAATTGGTGGCAACAATAAATCATCCCTCGGCGCCCCTGCTTCTTTACAGAAGCCAATGTAAATGTTGCAGCATTGGTGTTATATGGCATTTCATGGGCATTCTTGTGAGTAGCCTGGCTGCCGCATTCTGAACAATACGAAGCTTTCGGGTCGCAGACATCAGAAGACCCATATACAGGGCGTTGCAATAGTCCAGCCTAGATGTGACCGTGGCATGGATGACAGTTGCCAGAGCCTCGTCAGATAGGTAGAGTGCCAATTGCCTCGCTTGTCGTAGATGAAAAAAGGCCTGTTTGCTGGCAGCAGTGACCTGAGCTTCCATTGTCAGCTGTGAATCCAGGACGACACCTAAGCTCTTAACAGAGGTCGATGGAGATAGGGCGGCACCATCGAAGGTGGGTAATGGAGGAGTCAGACCTGCTGGGCGGCCATGCCAGGGAATCTCAGTCTTCGCCGGGTTCACCTTCAGTCTGCTAGCATGTAGCAAGTTTGACAGAGCTTCCAGACATAGGGTGAAATTGTCTGGAATTGACGTTGCTCCAGGCGCAGAAGGAGTTGGTTACCCATGGTCCACACCCTTCTCTGTGGGGCAGCACAGAGGGAGGGAGGGAAGGAGAGCGCATCACTGCTTTTGTGCTCTCGGAACTGAAGACACATAAGAGCTAACATTTCAAAGAGAGTAGGTTTTCCCCCACAAAGAATATGGGGTAGGAATGGTGGTCGGTGCCTAGTGATTAAAGTGTGATGGCAAATCTACTGAAAGAGACATCTCCAGCTCATCCCCTGTTTGGATATCAGCCAGCACGTCGACTTAAATCCAGACATAGTTTTCTAAGATCTACAGAGACACTCGCTGGAACACCTCAGCAAGCGAGAGTCCAAAAGTGGCAGGCTCAAACCCAGAACCTCAACCAATGGCTGATACCAAATGAGAAACTCCCCCCTGGGCACATAGAGGACTGGGCAACTTGGAAGGCACTAAACAGACTGCGCTCTGGCACCACGAGATGCAGAGCCAACCTTCAGAAATGGGGCTACAAAGTGGAATCCTCAACATGCGGGTGCGGAGAGGAGCAAACCACTGACCACCTGCTGCAATGCAACCTGAGCCCAGCCACATGCACCATGGAGGACCTTCTTGCAGCAACACTAGATACTGGTCAAAGGATATTTAATCAACTACCAAACTCACACATTTTGTATTTTCTCTGTTTGTTTGCTTTGTTCTGTTAGAAATGTAATATAATGGACTGGCTGCCCTGACACGAGAAATAAAATAAATAAAAATAAATACTGAAAGAATGCTGAGTACCACTGAGTATTACTGATACATTTAACAGTGTGATGAAGATAGGGAAATCATCCATTTCATTTCAAAACTGAGTCAGACTGAGCTCTACTCTACCAAACACTTCCCTGCTTCAGTGCCCCATCTACCCTGCCATGCAAAATCTAGATGATCTGCTTTGGACTGGAATATACAGCAACATAGAACCAATCTGGATCTACACTGCGATATAATCCAGATGATATCAAAATAGAGAAGACACATTGGCCCTTGGCTACCTACCCGCTCAGCAGGGTTCTTCACCCTGATGAAGAAGGAGGAGTGGTTCTGCTCCTCGTCGTTCATCTTTACTAGGCTCAGCGTGTTGTTCTCAGTGTCGACTTCCTATGGGCATCGCTGCAAGAGGAGGCAATGAACAGGTTGGGACTCTATGACAGTGTTTCTCAATCTTGCTAATGCCACGACCCATTAAAACCTTTCCTCATGTTGTGGTGACCCCCAACCATAACATTATTTTTGTTGCTACATCACAACTGTAATTTTGCTGCTGTTATGAATTGTCATGATATGCAGGAAGTATTTTCATTCACTGGACCAAATTCAGCACAAATGCCTGATATGCCCAAATTTGAATTCTAGTGGGGTTGAAGGGGAGATTGATGCTGTCATTTGGGAGTTGTAGTTGCTGAGATTTACAGTTCACAAACAATCAAAGAGCATTCTGAACTCCACCAATGATTGAATTGAACCACTCTTGGCACACAGAACTCCTATGAGTAAATACTGGAAGGGTTTGATAGGCATTGACCTTGAGTTTTGGAGTTGTAGTTCACCTACATCCAGAGAGCACTGTGGACTTAAACAATGATGGATCTGGACCAAACTTGGCACAAATACTCAACATGGCCATATGTGAACACTGGAGGAGGTTAGAGATAATAGACCTTGACATTTGGGAGTTGTAGTTGCTGGGATTTATAGTTCAGCTACAATCAAAGAGCTTTCTGAACTCCAACGGGAGAATTGGGCTAAACTTCGTACACAGAACCTCCATGACCAATAGAAAATACTGTGTCTTCTGATGGTCTTTGGCGACCCCTCTGATACCCCCTCGCGACCCCCCCAGGGGTCCCGACCCCCAGGTTGAGAAACACTGCTCTATGACATATTCATTGAAAAACTGGAGCCCAGTGGATATTCTTTCTTTGGAGGCTTTGAAGCAGAGGCTGGATGGCCATCTGTCAGGGGTGCTTTGATTGTGCTTTTCCTGCATGGCAGAAAGGGGTCAGACTAGATGGCCTTCGGAGGAATGCCCTTGAATTGTGAATACAGGCCCTCTCTGTAGATAGAATCATAGAATCATTGAATCATAGAATCAAAGAGTTGGAAGAGACCTCATGGGCCATAATCCAGTCCAACCCCATTCTGCCAAGAAGCAGGAATGTTGCATTCAAATCACCCCTGACACATGGCCATCCAGCCTCTGTTTAAAAGCTTCCAAAGAAGGAGCCTCCACCACACTCCCTCCAGGGCAGAGAGTTCCACTGCTGAACGGCTCTCACAGTCAGGAAGTTCTTCCTCGTGTTCAGATGGAATCTCCTCTCCTGTAGTTTGAAGCCATTGTTCCCTTGCGTCCTAGTCTCCAAGGAAGCAGAAAACAAGCTTGCTCCCTCCTCCCTGTGGCTTCCTCTCACATATTTATACATGGCTATCATGTCTCCTCTCAGCCTTCTCTTCTTCAGGCTAAACATGCCCAGCTCCTTAAGCCACTCCTCATAGGGCTTGTTCTCCAGACCCTTGATCATTTTAGTCGCCCTCCTCTGGACACATTCCAGCTTGTCAATATCTCTCTTGAATTGTGGTGCCCAGAATTGGAAGTTTTGGAATTGGAATGTTCTGAAGTTTGTGTAATTCAATTGGGGTAGTCAACCAGGACCAATGAACAACGGAGCCCTGTTTTCCCAACCACAAAACCCACAATTGTGAGTAATGTATTTTATTTATATTCCGCTCTATATCCTCGAAAGGACTCAGAATGGATTACACAACACATATACATATGGCAAACATTCAATGCCATTATACAATTAACAACAAAGACAGACAGTACGTAAACACTTTTCCACCTCTTTTCCATCTCTGGCATCTGGAGGCTATGCTCAACTCCGGCCATGAGGAGGTGCTATTGTTCCATTTCCTATGCCAAGGACCTGTTGTTTCTTTCAGCCATATTGTTTTTATATTGCTTTCAATTGTGTTGTTATTTGTTTTATCTGATGTTTTAATTGGTTAAAGTTTTTTACATGTGTGTTTTAATTGTAATCTTGGGCGTGTCCCTTGTAAGCCGCCCCGAGTCCCCTAGGTTGGCGGGGTATAAAAATAAGATTATTATTATTATTATTATTATTATTATTATTATTATTATTATTAGGGCACCTTCCTGATCAAATTGCTGGCATCTCTTCATGGGTACCTTTTTACCTCCCAGCCGAAGCGGTACCTATTGATCTACTCACATTGTTGTTGTTATTATTATTATGTTTGGGTTGTTGTAGGTTTTTTCGGGCTATATGGCCATGGTCTAGAGGCATTCTCTCCTGACGTTTCGCCTGCATCTATGGCAAGTATCTTCAGAGGTAGTGAGGTGAGGATATCTCTGAGGATGCTTGCCATAGATGCAGGCGAAACGTCAGGAGAGAATGCCTCTAGACCATGGCCATATAGCCCGAAAAACCCTACAACAACCCAGTGATTTTGGCCATGAAAGCCTTCGACAATACATTATTATGTTTGTTTATATCCTAACTAAAGGTAGGTCCATCTCTGGCCATTCCTGGGAACCAAATCTGGCCGGATCCAGCCCCACTAATAAGTACGAGTGGGATATCTTTGGATCAAGTAGAGAAACCCAAGGGCAATCCCGGCTTCCAACCGCACTCCCAGCCCCTCCGTACCTGCAGTGGCCTGTCGCTTTTTTCCTATGGCAAATGAATTAACCTCCCATTTTCTACCTGGTGCTTGGAGTGACTTCATAGGGAAAGTGCTACCTCACCTGTTACCGAGTAACAGGTGGAGGGAGATGGGGAGACTGGAGCAAGGATGGCTGTCACTGGCTCCATCAAGGATGATCCAAGTCGCTCTGCTCTATGTCCTCAACCTGTGCTTGATGTCCCTCAACCTGTTCCCATCTGCAGCGATGGAGCGTAGGCATTGTACCGTATGAAACAGGTAAACACTATGTAACACAATTTTTCCTCCTATGTTATAAGCAAATTCAAGTCTCCAGGGCTTGATCAACTCCATCCACGAATATCGAAGGAACTACCTGAAGTCATTTCGGAACTACTCTTCCAGAGTTCTTGGAGAACAGGACAAGTCTCAGCAGATTGGAGGAGGACAAAGAAGGCGATAGGGGCTCTTCGAGGAGAAGATCGGGCAATTCTGACAAGGGGATGATAGGGAAAAGGCAGAACTACTTAATGCCTTCTTTGCCTCGGTCTTCTCACAAAAAGAAAGTCATCTTCAACCTCAGCAAGATGCAGTGGATGAGGGATTAGAGGACATCCAGCCCCAAATTGGGAAACAAGTCATCCAGGAATACCTGGCCGCTGAGTTCAAGTCCCCTTTCAGGGCCAGATCAACTACACCCAAGAGTACTGAAGGAACTAGCGGAAGTCATTTCGGAAACCATCTTTGAGAGTTCTTGGAGAACGGGAGAAGTTCCAGCAGATTGGAGGAGGGCCAATGTGGTCCCAATCTTCAAGAAGGGAAAAAAAGGATGACCCAAACAACTACCGTCCGGTCAGCCTCACGTCGATACCGGGCAAGATTCTGGAAAAGATTGTTAAGGAAGCGGTCTGCAAACACTTAGAAACAAATGCGGTCATCGCTAATAGTCAACATGGATTTATCAAAAACAAGTCATGCCAGACTAATCTGATCTCTTTTTCGATAGAGTTACAAGCTGGGTAGATGCGGGAATGCCGTGGATGTAGCGTACCTGGATTTCAGGAAGGCCTTCTTTGACAAGGTCCCCCATGACCTTCTGGCAAAGAAACTAGTCCAATGTGGGCGAGGCAAAACTACGGTGAGGTGGATCTGTAATTGGTTAAGTGGACGAACCCAGAGGGTGATTCTCACCAGTGCTTCCTCTTCATCCTGGAAAGAAGTGACGAGTGGAGTGCCGCAGGGTTCCGTCCTGGGCCCGGTCCTGTTCAACATCTTTATTAATGACTTAGATGAAGGGTTAGAAGGCAGGATCATCAAGTTTGCAGATGACACCAAATTGGGAGGGATAGCCAATACTCCAGAGGACAGGAGCAGGATTCAAAACGATCTCAACAGATTAGAGAGATGAATGGCCAAAACTAACAAAATGAAGTTCAACAGTGACAAATGCAAGATACTCCACTTTGGCAGGAAAAAACGAAATGCAAAGATACAGAATGGGGGACAGCCTGGCTCGAGAGCAGGACATGTGAAAAAGATCTTGGAGTCCTCGTGGACAACAAGTTAAACATGAGCCAACAATGTGATGTGGCGGCAAAAAAAGCCAATGGGATTTTGGCCTGCATCAAGAGGAGCATAGTGTCTAGATCTAGGGAAGTCATGCTACCCCTCTATTCCACTTTGGTTAGACCACAACTGGAATATTGTGTCCAATTCTGGGCACTACAATTGAAGGGAGATATTGACAAGCTGGAATGTGTCCAGAGGAGGCGACTAAAATGATCAAGGGTCTGGAGAACAAGCCCTATGAGGAGCGGCTTAAGGAGCTGGGCATGTTTAGCCTGAAGAAGAGAAGGCTGAGAGGAGATATGATAGCCATGTATAAATACGTGAGAGGAAGCCACAGGGAGGAAGGAGCGAACTTGGAGACTAGGATGCAATGGAACAATGGCTTCAAACTACAAGAAAGTAGATTCCATCTAAACATGAGGAAGAACTTCCTGACTGTGAGAGCCGTTCAGCAGTGGAACTCTCCCTCCCCGGAGTGTGGTGGAGGCTCCTTCTTTGGAAGCTTTTAAACAGAGGCTGGATGGCCATCTGTCAGGGGTGATTTGAATGCAATATTCCTGCTTCTTGGCAGAATGGGGTTGGACTGGATGGCCCAGGAGGTCTCTTCCAACTCTTTGATTCTATGATTCTATGAAAGAGCATTCTGAACTCCACCAATGATGGAATTGAACCAAACTTGGCACACAGAACTCCCATGACCAACAGAAAATACTGGAAGGGTTTTCTGGGCATTGACCTTGGGTTCTGGAGTTGTCGTTCACCTATATCCAGAGAGCACTGTGGACTCAATGATGGATCTGGACCAAACTTGGCACAAATACCCAACATGCCCAAATGCAAACACTGGTGGAGTTTGGATAAAATAGACTTTG